GTTGGCCTTGACGCCATGGACACTCCTCGTGCGAGCGTGGGGTACGTTTTCTTGTGAGTATTGTCAACTAAAAATATCAAATTAATGAAACTCTTTTTGTAGACTGAAAATACCCCGCGTCCAATAGGTGTATGCAGTAGTTCCAAACATGTCCAGTTTGCCCATTAAATAATGGATATATTTGATATTTTTACCTGACTCTCTTTGGCTTTACTCAGCTCAAACGTAAAATTTCAAAGAGGAGATCTAGAGACAGGGGTATAAATATGTGTGCAGGTAGGGGACAGAATATAGATTACACAGGTACAGGTACATGTAGAGTTACTGTACGGGTCTCTTTATATACTAAAACAAAGTGAAATTCAAGGGGATAGGGGGGAGGTCGATGGGATACATTTTTCATTTAGCAAATCGACCCAATTGTGTGTTTTGCTTGTCTCATAAGCATCTCGGTCATGTTATCAATGAGTTTTAAAATATGGGACATTTATTCCATAACATTCTTTAATATTTTTTTGGCTCCTGTCCAAATGGGTTTTATATAGTATCTAATTGCTTCTTTATATTCCACACACTTGTCAAATATACTGGGTATCTACCAAGACAGCGAAATACAACATTTAACGAGCATTAAGTATATGTCTTTATATACGTAGCCTGGCATTGGGTTGAATTAGTACAGACATACCATTCAGGTTACATGAATACTAAAATAAGGAAAATGCCTGAATCAACAGGTATATCAATAGTCTGCAAAATGCTAAATTTATACACATGATATTAGGCTGTGTTCAACGAAACGAGTATGATAATACAGGGGAAATTATTTCACTGTCTCACATTTCGATAACACAGAAAGTGATATAAGATAATGAAAAGTAACAACATTCTGAAAAATGTAAACAAAATAAAAGTGAAAATAGGGAGAAAAAAATTTAATCGTCTTAAATTAAAAGAGAAGTGTTATTTGGTGAATATGAGATAAGGCAATGTATCTCATCAAATTGGTAGTTCGTTTTTTATAAATACCTTCTGAATGAATTTTCGACAAAGAGGGGCGGTCGCGACAATAATTTCGCCATTTCGCTATTTACTCCAAATTTCTACAACCTTCTTTCTTATCAGCTGAATAAAGAAGGTAAATGGAGATCGTTTGATTATTTTCAAAATTGTTGACTTTCCCTTTTTCGTAGGTTTCAAGTTAATTTTCATAGATGATTCCCCATAGGATAAAAATAGTCGACGTGTTCAACCGATTATCATTATTGTGCGAAAATATTTTTAAATTTCGGGTTTATTCGAAAAAAACATATTTTTTTTCATTTCATTATTTTTATTTTATTTTTTATTTTTTGTTTTTATTTCAACATAATGAATATTACACATCGTTGCTGTCATATCATTTCACAACAGACCTTTATAACGGACACCACTGTGTATTCAACTTAGATCACTTACCTGCCTAATTACGATGTGCCTTCGGCAAATTCCGCTAGAAAGGTATCATTTATTCCCATTGTTGTACAGTCACATGTCAAAAAAAAAAACTAATAGAGCCCTAGTGACAAGACATGTCTCCGTGGGACATCCGTGTTAAAACCATCCTCAGTTGGCCTTTATTATTATTATTACTATATATATTCAGTGCATTTACCAGCGTGTAGGAGAAATCCGTTACATGCACGGCAATGATAGGACACAGAAATTTGCCATTTGTCATTTAGATCTGGGCGCTTCCTGTAGACACTAGAATACTTGACTAACACACTACCACCAGTAAAGATATTTTAAAACGTGACAGTGAACGAATGATGGTATTGAATTTTTTTCAAACGTTATGTATAATTTCTAGTACTTTTACCTAATGACCCTATACTTTACCTGAGATCTCTATATTTAGGTACATGTAGTCATTAGGTAGTTAGTAAATGACTCCGACTTAATAAGGACTTAATAATCTCTAAACGATACTGAGAATGCTTCTCGCGACCTTCCTTGTACATGAAGCACGTAATCAGCGTACTCATACATGTATGTAGTTTCTTTGCGTAGATAAAGTGTGACGAAGCAAGATATACCGGTAGATCCGCAGTAGTCTACATAGGAATACTTGGTGAAGCGAGTGAGAGGCGTAGGTTGCAGGGTCGGGGGAGGGGGGGGGGTCACCTTTCACCGGCCAACAGCTGCCCCCAGCTTTATCGACCTATGACTCTGATCCTGAAGTTATATTAATTATGTGTAGTTTGTAGACAGTATACGGAGTAGTTTCTGTTGTACGTTGTATAGTTTTATACTGTGAAGTGTGCCGCGTGAGTTTGTTTAGAGTGCAATGTACTGGCAGTATTTAGCAGTGTACTAGTAGCCCAGGATAGTGTAACATGATTTATGCAAAGTTTCTGCTGTTCGAAAAAAAAAAAACGTATTAATTACTAGGACAAGAAGTATACAGGGGTAGTTTCATGCTTAGGTGATCAATTGTTTTATTTTCCATGTAGGTTGGGTGTGATAATTTAACTATTATTATGTAAATTTTTAACAATATGCAAAAGTTGCGAAAAGGAGAAAAAGTTTCTTGGAATACAGGAAAGACTTAGGCGCCAAAATTAAATGCTTATTGAAGCGTTCATTAGTTCTCTAAATTGTGAACTTGAAGCTATTATCAATTTTGTTCATCTACGTCTGGTGGGCGACGACACATGGCGTATTAAATCACAATAATAGTAAGTCTTATTTCGGCACACGTTTCGGCGCAATCGTGACACTTTAACTATAGAATATCCCTGTCCAATTTTCGGGGGCGTTGTTGAACATAATCTAAAGAAGGCAAAGGCCAGGAAACACTCATGAGAAAACAATAATTATCGCCCCTCCCTGTTCCCGACCCCACGCAAAAGCTTGAACTTTTATTATCATGACTCGATGGTCTCGGCGTATTTTTGAGACGACATAATCTCGCTTCTAATATATCCCATAAATATGGTAAAACTCAATATCTCTCTATACTAAGGGCCAGAGAGATGAGATTATTTCCAAGCACAAATTTTATGCATGTTATACCAAAGTGTCTTTTGTAATACCGGTATTTATAATGTTTTTATAGTATTTAGGTAAGCGACAGTCGTTTTGTGATTTAAGAGAGCAGTTGTTGGCAGGAATTTACTATTTATTAATTATAGCTTAAAACTTTTTTCTAATTAGTGGTTTTAACCGTCTTCGAAATACAGTATGCAGAGCAGGTATATCTCATGAACACTGTAAACGGTCTACTTCTGTATGACGTATGTAGCAGTACTGTAAACAGAATAAGACGACATTTCACTGGAGTTGTGTAAACATTACACTAACATGTGGGGCAAAAAAGAGGTGATCGGGTGATCAAGTATCAGATAATTTTTTATTTCTGTTAGCTATTGTATTGATGTTCATGCAGCTACCAAATTTTGGCAAAAGACAAAAAATACCGAATTTTTTTTGTTTCTGTTAGCTAAATGTTTTGATGTTCATGCAGCTACCAAAACTTGGCAAAAGACGAAAAATATCGAAAGTATTATGGATAGGCAGGCGCGTGGCCAGGAAGTTTGGGAGAAGTTTTGCTTTCTCGGCTAGGTCCGGTGGTGTTCATTTAAAGGAAGTCTTCTTGTAAAAGACAATTAATACACACAATACCACGTTCTAAAGAAAGGAAAGTGAGAAAAGTCTGATAGATCGGGAGATATGCAGTCTAAATTGAGAGACTCCCAACAAGATCGTGAGTGTTCACAGGCCTACAACAAAGCACAGCAATCTCCTTTGCCTTAACCAGGGTTAGACAGTTAACAATAGGATCGTGGTTTGTCCACCTGAGGGACGCAGAAGTCATGGCCGCTCAAAACGGACGGTGAGGTTGTTGATTAGCTTATTTGTGTTTTACAGCCTGAAGGAAAAGGTCTAATAGTTAACAGCCTTCTTTTCGTAATATCTCGGTTTTGCAAACACTACTCTAGTTGGGCGAATGGGTTCGAAGCATGGCAATAAAAGCAAAGATAATAGCTCTCTTAGCACTAACAAGATAACCCCATCGTATTCACTCCGCGGGGATAATTTGAGTTTGGTAACAAGTCGAACGCCAGAGTGAGGACATTTCATTTGTTTTGCTACCTTACATGGTGTACCAAGCGGCTTGTATGCAGCTGGTTTTTTGTACGGGTAAACATAGCTTATCGTTATCATAGCACTCCTTTTGGGGTGACAGAAATGGGACAGAAATATGACAAAATAATATCATTCTGTCGTTATGTCTCTGTGTAGAATATGGAGGGATTACTCAGGTTCTGTGGAATTTTCACGCATATTATCCAAGTTGGATAAGTCGCAGTAAAACGAGAGCGAGAAAAACCTTCTTTTTTGTTGTCAAGGTTAGTATATTTAACTGCCGATGATCCCGGCGAGGATGCAAGAAAAGAAAGGTCAAGGAGGGCAATACAGGGTTCAGTTTTACAGACGTCTCTCCCGTACATACCAGTAAATGAGAAGCCCCGCGGGGTAGTGGTGGTGGGAGAGGAAGTATGATACATGTACATGTAGAACCTGTGTATGAGGGTCCTCCTTGTTAAATTACTGCATTATTACAGTATACATGTTCCAATGGAATTTTTTACTTACAAAGTGACAGACTTGCGAGATAGTCTTCCAGACAATATTGTGACTGCCCCATCAGTAAATGCTCCATCAAATGTCAGCTCGACAAACTCTGGGAGAAATGACACTCTAGTCTCTACCTTTGCACCATACAGGCGTTGGTATTACACTGTTGATATGCTCCATACAACTCCACACAAAATTAACTGCTGCTGTGAAGAGACGGACCATAAACTACTGATGATCAGTACCAGAGCCACGGTCTATACAACTGAAAAGAATAATAAAGATGATGATATTTTATATTTATAAAATTCCAACTGGTATCCATTAGTTATCCATTACATATTATCTATTATTATATAGATACTTCTTAATTCCAGGGAAATCAAAGAACAAGATGCAGCACTGGCAACAGGTGCGTGAGAAAATTAAGACACAGGCAGAGTCTATGGAAAGAAAGCTTCGCTCTGAAACAATGGAGAGATACATACGAAATCACAGGACCACCGCCCACGCCGGGGCACCCTGGGGAGAGGACTTTTATAAAATACTCAAAGGTAAGGGTGCTTATTAATTGCCCCAGTTTAAAGCCTGACAGCTACTTTATATACCTGTCCTTAAGTGAGACAAACTTATTAAGATGCCCCCTTCAATATGGGATAAGGATATAACGTTTCTAGATACTTTAGATGAGAAGAAAGATATTTCCACTTATAATAGGGCTAAATACCTTCATCAGGAGACCGTACTTTAAGTGTCTTTCCATGTCGCATTTGGTGTACATTGCATGTATGACGTTATGTAATGAAGTCATTTGGAATTAAACCGGTTTTGATCTAAGTCTTTGTCTGATCATACGTGTCACAAATTTCCCTTGTTTTAAACACTGAGTTATATTAATTGTCAGTCGTGTCCAATGTTAACGGTAACGTTTTTTACCTTTTTCAAAATCAGTTTTACGTTATTGATTTCACCCTTATCTGCCTGGCCCGCCCGACCGGGCTAAATAAAGAACTAATGAAAGCGAGAATGAAGAAGAGTATTGGCAAGCTTCCGTGTACGTTTTTCATATCTACTTCAGCGCTGTACACGTTAGGTTCACGGTACCAGAAGCAAAACACTGTTTATGTTCCAATAATGTTTACATCTCGGATTTATGATATTTTATTGTGATTTCTGAAAAGGCTCTATGAGCACTCCGATATTACAACCACTGTCTATACACACATATATAAAGTCGAAGTGCCTTCGTCAAAAAGGACGTCCTTCAGTTTTTTATCGACGTTCGTTAATAAAACATAATTTCCAGTTGATAAAACATATAATTCCCACGTTCTTATTCTAAAGGTGTTTACATTCTGGCTCCTTATAATCATCAACTATATTTATTGTGGTTTCTGAGAATGCACTATCAGTAGACTCTGACCCGCTAGTGGTCGGTTCCAAAATTATAATGTCGGCCTATACTTAAATTCTATATACTATTTAAGGGACCCCTAACATATGACATATATCAGATGGTACTATCAGTACACCGCGTCGTCAAAATAACAGTCTATAAATACAGGCATTGTGTCACTGTGAAATTGTACAGTGACGTCCTTCTTATCAGCACTCGATCTGCCCGTGACCCTGCCGTTGTGGTCTTCTCCAAGGCCCCATTCAGAATAGGGGACTAACTAGTTCGAGGGTCAAATATGGCCGACCCACTTGAATACTTCCCCACGGGATATCTACTCAATGTCTATTAGCGGATTATACGGCAAGCCTTGTTGTGGGACGCCATATTTGACCCTCAGACTAGTTTGTCCTCTATTCTGAATTGGGCCCAAGACGCCGGGTGGTCAGTTGAGATGTTATCAGTGATGGACATAGTCATGAAATGCCTACCGTATTATCACATGAGAACAACAGACAAGAGAAAGTAGAAAATACAGACGAGAAATTGTATGAAAGAAGAAATAACGATAGACTGTTCTATGTAAAAAAAGAAATCAAAAGAGCAGAAACACTACGGTCAAAGTAGTATTAAATATTTTAGACGAAAAAAACATGATATCGATGAAAATTGGTTTCAATTCGACAAGGTAGTTTTAAACTTTGAATAAGTTGCCTTAAAAACACTCACTTCATATGTTAATTTCCAATATTCTAACGAATGCTTTATTTATACGGTATTTGTAACTCATACGAATACTGTATTACTTATCATTCTGAATTCGGGTGTTTTTCTTATGTATAATATTCTTTCATTTTGAGCTTATACCGTCTCATTTTGAGCTCTATACTCTTTCATTTTGATCTCTATACTCTTTTATTTTGAGCTATATACCCTTGACAACCCTGTATATAACAAACGACAGTTACAGTGCTTTCTGAACATACTGTCCACACCCCGAATTTCAGAGTCTTCTAAAAACTCCCAAATACCCTAGGACCACCAAGGGCGTATGCTGGGTAAAGTTGGGTTCTTGAGACTAGCACACATCGTTAGGGAAATAATATAAGGGGACGTTCACAATGAATCTATCGCACTATAGCTACTGAGCACTAACTCCGTGGGGCTTTCGGTGAATGCAATAAGATTTACAGATAAACATGCCTCCTCCTGGCTTTGAGTAGAATACAGACAAGCTAATGATTGTACAGCACTCAGCTGGAGTCCCGGCGGAGTCGGTTCGAACTACCTAGTACGACAGTTTCATTGTGAACGCACCCTATGAGAGCTACCTGAATCTCAGGGTGATACAGTCACGTCATTACTGTCACCGATCCACGTCCAATAGTTACACCGTTTTAAGTTTATCTGAATATCATGGGGTGCTTAGTAATATGCCTTGTGATTTATGGAGGGATTAAGCATCCTTTTCATGGCTTAAGGAAACGATGTCCAGTATGTGGGACTTAATCAGTATTTGCACTGAAATATGTAATAAACTATTGAAATTAGTTCCTTGGTTTATACATATGAATATACACGGAGGGAAGTCGTAAGATGGTGTGTGGTTTTTGAAGCAAATGTTTGTTCATCTGCGTGCGCTTGCATAACTCTTGAACATCGTCTGTTCTCTTTCAAATTGCACTCGTCTGCTGATCTCTTTATCGTCTGCTTACAACACCAAGCACCAAGAACAAACAGTTCATCTGGCCAATGGAGATAAACACCCGGGCGCAGACTGCGCACAGAAAGCGAGAAATGCAGATAATCCATGTTTTGAGAAATATAAACCTGCAGAGTGTGAAGATGGGGAGTTCGAGGAGGCATCAATCAAATGTTTTTTCGTCCATTTTTCTTATTCAAAGGATAAAGATAAGGGCGCCTGCTTCCTCAACTTAATTAAGTTATCAGTGAGCAACGGTTCACGTAATACTTGGATCTTGAGTCATAAGTTTATGTCACTTTGCTACATTTAAGGTTATTTATGTGCAATAATATACTATGCTGTGTTTGGAAATCAACGGATATTTGATATATTGTGTGCACTTGCTCCAAGATCTCCACAAAGGGGGGGGGGGAGATTTGGAAATATACTATCCATTTACCTGCATTTGCTTCAAATTTGCTTTTCTCTTAGGGAAATATGGCCAAAGAAGGGCGTTTCCATCAACTAATATTAAGCATTTTTATTTTCAATTCAGCCGACATAAACAGAAACCGGACTTGATTCCACGTCGGCATACAGTGATTTTTTCCTTGTCTGTTTAATACTAGACTCACACTGGACAGTGACAAGAAGTGTTGAGATATATTCAGCGACTGTTTTAAAAGTCTCAACTATCGCAATATCCCCGCCTCGCCCCCCCCCCTCTCTCCTACAATAAAAACAACACCGCTATACAAATGTCATACATCAGGGTCGTATTCTGACAAAATACTTGGAGGGGAAGGGACAACAATATTTGCAAGCAGATTACTAGTACTGGCTTTCGTACTTTTCTAGGAGGTGAACAATGGAGAAGTAGACAATTGTCAGAAAGAAAATGTCTAGCACTTAAAACAGATCCCCTCGAAATGTATTTTCCAAAAAATATTTTAGGTGGCAGCCCCATCCCCGCCCCCACCCAAGCACATGTAGTGGTACATTTGTTCATTTCAATCATTAATGGTCCTAAATTTGGATGGAAATTATATTAATACACATAACACTCTCTTGTGTTGCTCACATGTGTCATAACAATTCCAACGAAACTTATGTATAATGGTATATTTAACATCCTTTTTTTTGCTAATTCAGAGAGATCCAAGGCCAACAGCGGAGGCCGACATCGGATAAATACAACATTCAGTTTTAGTGAAAATATTTCCGACAGCCAGGTAATGTATCATAAATAGATCAAAGAAGAAAGTTCAGTTGTACATGTGAAATTCTTTATATTTCTTGAGTGTCCATGATCTAATGCGTAGTGTAACAAGGTTTTGTATGTTCTTCACAACACAAAAGTGCATGATTCATCTATAAGTCAGAAGTTACTCCCCATAAAGTAAGGACAACAGATTATTAAAGTATGAAAAAATGTAATATATTTTTTTGCTTAAATTTTTCCTCCATTGACAAAAACATTGTTATGATATGTTCTACCCTTTTCTCTAGCTCTCGAAAACGGAAGAAGAGTTTTTCCATGCGTGTGAGTTTGGAGACATTCCGCGCGTGCGGCAGTTCCTCACGGAGGATCTCCCCGACTTTGACCTGACAAGGTCAGACCCTTTAGGGAGAACTCCCCTGCGTCTGGCAGCTGAAAATGAACACTTGGAGGTGAGGGTTTGCCTGTGTAACTGCTTCTAGAAAAATACACGGGCTGACTTAAACGCGACTTGCATACTCACTCTCTCTTTCTCTCTCTCTCTCTCTCACACACACAGAGTGTGGGGTGGGGTGGGGTTTGGGGGGTATAGGGCCTACCAACAAATATGTAATCATGGTTGTATTGTGTTAAGTAAGTGAATGTGACTGCTAAAATGCAAAAGCCAATTGTGACTTTGAGCGCCATTTATGTTTATCACCAAAGGAAAAATGCAAGGACTTAAATTGTTAATATGATTTGAAAAATAATCCACATTTTTTTCTCAGATCGCTGAACTGCTGATCAAAAAAGGATGCACATACAGAGACATGTACGACGCATTGCTCCTATGTATTACACTGGGACACCAAGAAATTGCAGAGACAATTCTGAAAAACCCAACCTACCTTTACTATGCTAAACAACAAAACAGTCGGGACGGCTCGCAGTGTGAAAACACAGACAAAAACCACGTGGCAGAACACGCGCATGCGCCTCGAAGGGTCTCCAACGTGCTCTCGGACGATTCACAATTCTCTATGGATATTACACCGCTGATGCTGGCGGCACAACACAATCGGTTCGAAATAGTTCAGTTGTTGTTGATGCGAGGGGAGAGGATACATCGACCACATCATTATTACTGTAATTGTTGTTCTTGTAAAGAAGGGGCCAAAGAAGACCAATTGAGATTCAGAATACGGAGATTGGAAAGTTATCGATCCTTAGCCAGTGAGGCATACATCTCGCTTGCTAGCAGAGATCCCATTTTGACGGCATTTGAGTTAGCCAAGGAGTTGAGAGAAGTGGCGTCTATGGAAAGACATTTTAAGGTTAACATTAGTCGAAAAAAACCATCAAACACATAAGGGTTTTTATTTTTTTTGAAATTCCTATGAAATTATATGATTTGATATCTTAAACTTTCTGGTAAATTAAAAGTGACAAGTTAGACTGAAAAGCTCATCAATAAAATCTACATAAAATTGAAAAAAAAAAACTTGTAAAAAATCTCCATTGCAAAGGAGAAAGGGTAAAAAGACATTTTCTTGAAATTATACTCGTTTTACTATTTTTCAGAATGAATACAAAGAGTTAGCAGACAAGCTAAGCACGTACGTCGTCCGTCTGTTGGACCGCGTGCGGAGCAGTGCCGAGCTGGACCTTGTTCTGAACAAGACCGGAAGAGCGTCCAAGGAACGCTACAGTAAACTCGCCAGGTTCAAATTGGCAATTATATATCTAGAAAAGAAGGTGAGAATAATAAAAGTGTACTTGATTTAAATGGTCACATTTGGGATATCAATTAGTTTGCATTTTGTGAACAGAGTTGGACATCAAAAACAAATTACGTTTGGAGTGTCAGATTTGCAATAAAAGTACGTTGATCTGTTAATCACTATAATGTCTGTTATAGTATATGAAAATATGGATTTGTGAATGGAAAATTAAGAGCTACACACATTTCCCAGAATTATTATTGTCTTAGTATTAGTATTTTTGGAGTTCACCTGTATCTCATGTCTCTTGAAGTTGTATAAAACGATCTTAGTTCACTGTTAGAACTCTTGCCACGAAACTGCTGTAAAGATTTTTGTTCGTCGCTGGTCAAAACTTTTTGTTGCTGTAATCTGAGAACTTTTGCATGTTAAAAGTAATAATTTTTGCCGATCTTCTTTGTTTCTAGTTCGTGACACATCCATTCTGTCAACAGAAACTTACCGGCATTTGGTACGACGGCGTCCGTGAGATTTTAGAACACAACAACTGGTTTTACCGCGTGCTGTTCGTAGTGCTCCTTATCCTGTTGTATCCCCTGCTGGCCATTGTCTACATCTTAGCACCAGACTCCAGGGTGAGTCGAAAGAGAAATTTATTGGGGCATTTTTGAACCACTTTCCATTAGGGAAATTTTGCATTCCATGACCTACATATGGCGTATTCGAAACATTTTGACTGTTTTGACATGCGCTGTTTTGTTGTATTGTCTAAAGATTTAAGAGAAACCCAAGCGGTCATTTGTTTCTTATCACCGGGAAGGTTTCTAAAATGCATCGGAACAAGTGGAAAACGNGTTTGACCTCTTAACAAGCCTACTATTACCAAAAATTAAGTTTACAACGTATGCTAAATTTCAGGTTTAAGTGAATGTCATCAGAAAAGGAAACGTGGAATGAAACATTTTTCTAGTTCTGCTACGAAAAAGTGCTACATGTATGTTGGTGCCACGTTCATTATTGGCCAAATGTTCCCCGAGTGCATTTATGCATTACTTGCTTCATGCACATGGGCATGTCCAATAGCAGGTACCTTTCACAGAATGTTGAATATCATCTTTTCATTGAACATTACATCTTTTCCCTTTAATAGGTGGGAAAGTTCCTGAAGTATCCCATAGTCAAAATGATATCCAGCACGACGACCTATGTCACCTTTCTCACCATGATCCTGGTGTTCACGCTGACTGCCAATCCTGCCAATGGGCGGAGACTCTCCCACTACCAGCCGCAGTACGACTACTACCTACGCCACAAGAATGTGTCCGCCACAACGAAGGGTTATCCGGATGATTTTATACTGCGTTCCCACGTGCCGGATTCTTTGGAGATACTCATTGTTATATGGATTGTGGGTAAGAACGCGAATTTCGTTAGTTGGTTATCCCAGTTATCTGTAGTGCAGTGATGATTTATGGAAAGTTTTTTTACTTACTAATATAAATAATTTCAAAACTAAATTATTTACAAAAGCTAAGAGGCCATATCTCAAAGGCTGGATGAAAGGTAATACATGCGCATGCAAGGTTTTATTGATTTTTTATTTAGTATACAAATACTTGATTACAATGAAGTTGATTGTGTACAGTCTTCTTGTGGGATACTTCTTTGACGCTCTTTTTACGTCATTATCACGTAATTGGTACGTCAATATTACGTGACATTTCAGGCATGCTGTGGCAGGAGTGTAAGCAGGTCTACCAGTTTGGGATTCGAGAGTATCTGTGGTCATTGTATAATATCCTCGACAGCAGTATGATTATGTGTTATATAACCTCCTTCACGTTGAGATACATTTGTTATGAAAAGGTACATTTCATTGAATAATATTATTATTTTAATTTGAGCAATTATTTCCTTATGGTGAATATCGAGTTACACTTTTATAGCAGCTTTTTTGACGACAATAATATCAGTACTTTTGTTTACTCACATGGTAAGTCAATTGTATGCCATGGTCGGACATATAAGAATAATGTTAGTATACTGTTTAACTCAAATATGATAAGATGCACTAATTAGTTTGAATATTATCAAATTAAAGACAAAATACGCCATTGGTTATTTTGCCTCGGAAGATAAGTGGTATCAGTTGGACGTAGGAGAGGTCGAGGCAAGGAACCAGTTCTACTGGCTTATAGCAGGTAATATTTATCGACAAGAATATATTTTGGAAAAATTTGGTCTGTTTTTCAACTATAAACAATGCATTGAAGATATCATTACGTAATACAAAAGATACGCTCTGGTGTGATTTCATATCAAGTGAACAAATTTCATACGGTAATGTGCCATGAATTTGAACGGCTGTTAAATTTCGAACGATCTTAAAATCGGCCGTCTAGATTTATAGTGCAGATAAAACTACCTACACCGATGGCAACGATGAAAATCATTGATTGAATACCTTGGAAAATGTGTATATTTACAACCAGTCTTTATCAAAAAATTTGAAAGTTAAAAATCGACTTGTTCTATTGGAATTGACTTTTGTTTTTTCAGACCGTTATTTGTGGCAGAAATACGATGCATTCTATATCTCCGAGGGATTGTTTGCTATAGCCAATGTGCTGAGTTTCTCTCGTATATCTGCCCTGTTACCAGCGAATTCCACGGTCGGACCAACACAGATCTCTCTCGGGCGAATGGTGAAGGTAAAAACTTAATTTTCACAGTTTGGTCCGTGTATGAGGTTACGATTTCGACGAAATTGTTTATAATTAACTCTCTTATATACACGGATCAAAGTTTACAAACGGGCATGTTGTGTAGTAGGAATTGCCAATCAAAAACCGCTTACAAAGGAGTAGCATCCACCAAGTTGAAAACCATTTTGACCATTTAAAAGCCCATTACTTTGAAGACCATTCTGTGAGTCCACGGTACTTTAAATTGTCGCAGTGAGTACAAGGGCTTTCACTCGAAGTTTTAGCAATTTTTTACCCAAATTACTTTGAAACACATTTTATTGTTTGTGCCATTGACCAAATTATCTTGTCCTTAATTATCTTACAGAGTGTCACCAAGTTCATGTTCATCTTCCTGATGATGTTCTTGGCGTTCATGGTTGGCCTTCAGAATCTGTACTGGTACTTCAATCCCAGCGTCCGCCTGGAGGTGGAGATTGAGAAGAGAAACGTCACAACTAATGCCGAGGGAGGATTTGGGACGTAAGCAAATATTTGATTAAAATCGTTAACCGGCAATGTGCAAGGAAAGTTGTTGTACAAGCGTTCTAAGCTTGCTCATCGTGTAGTTAAAGCTCAGTTGTATTTCGAGAACATAAGAATCATGCTAAACAAAATTCGCAACTGTTTAAAAGTATAGTTGAAGAACGTTTTGTACTGATAGGAAAAACAAAAATATAGAATATTCTGTAATTATATCTAACGTGCGCCTATTGCACCATTATTGGATTTCATTGTCTAAAATTGAAATGTTACCAGTTAAAAGGTATATCCTATTTTCTCTTTCAAGATTCGAGCTGACGTTCCGCACGGTGTTCTGGGCTATATTTGGTCTCGGAGAGTCACAGGTGGTCCAGTTGAATGGATACGACGCCGTCTTCACGGAGTCCGTGGGTTACATTATGTACGGCGTGTACAACCTGACCACTGTGGTAGTACTGCTGACTATGTTGATAGCTGTGATGACCAAGTCCTTTGAGGTGATACAGGTGCGTCAAATGTAAAACAAATGGTAGGAAATGAGCGAGTTTTGTTCCATACCAATGCTATAAGTCTGAAGGTATTTCTGTAATGAAAACATATCCGCTCGGCATCATAAAAAGGTAATCAGCATGAATCTATATTATAGCTACGAAGAATACAATGATTTCGTGACCAGTCACATTGTCTATAACACGTAGTTCAAATAATTTGGCCAATCTTGTCCTCTCTTACATGTAGCAAGATGCGGACATGGAGTGGAAGTTTGCCCGCTCCAAGCTGTTCATGGAGTACATAGAGGATGGCACCACACTTCCGGTTCCTTTCAATATTCTTCCAACTCCTAAATCCATCAAGCA